ACACACACACACACACACACACACACACACACACACACACACACACACACACCTTTGCGACTGTGTGCGTGTGTGTGTGTGTGTGTGCGCATGTGTTGATATTTACACACACACACAATTGCAAAGGCATACTCACATGCAGATAAAATACGACAGACTTAGCTCTTAAGGCGAGAGTATTACGCACACAAGAGAGAAGGAAAAAGTCAGACTAAAACGGATAAAAATACGTAAAAAAAATGTTTTAATAAGACTTAAAGAGACAGCGAAGGAATTTCAGAAAGTCAAAATAGCGATAACGTTCGAATAATGAAAAGAAATGAAGAAAATCAACATAAAAAATGCTAATACAAAACAAAAAACGCAAAGCCGTTAACAGAAGGAAAGTAAGATCCGATCAATTAAATCAGCGCCAATGAATCATTTGATTACACCTGGAAGATTAACCAAGAATTCAAGTATGTTCACAGAAGCATGAATGTCACGAAATTTGATTTTATCGAACATAGGTCAGAGTTCGTAATATTTTCTAGGTATTTGTATAATAAAGTTTGATGTATTTTGATGGGTAATTGATAGTAATGATGAGAATGATAATAACGGTATTATTAATGTTAATAATGTAATGATAATGCCACTGATGATAATGATAATGATTATGTAATAATGATAACAATAATGATAACAATAACAATAGTAATAATGAAAATAGTCTTTATTATAAGGATAACGATAATGATAATAATAACAATGATAACGATCATAATAACAACGATAATAATAATAATAACAAAGACAATAATGATGATAATGGTAATAATTCTGCAGTGATAATAATAATAACAGCAATAATACTAATGATAATGATATTTACAATGATGATAATAATGAAATAACAATATCAATAATAACAATAACCATAACACAGATACACGTAGATAAATAATGCGTCATATGATATAAAACATAATTTCTATGATAAACTGGGATGTCATAAAGAATACCAAAGGCAATGATGCAAAATCCTGTCATTAGAAGCTGCACAAATGTTGAAAATGTTGAAAATGTTGAAAAAAGGTATTCGAGTTTGTATTTGTGAATATTGTTCAATCGGAAAATATTTAAACTAATGCAGATTTTTGGTGTTGATATATTTGAGTTGATATATTTCATAAAAATAAAGTTAAACTATCTAATAAAAATGGGTAGATAGATAATAACAAATTAACAAAAGGAATATGATTTGAGAACAAAACAAAAAAATATATATACATATACATATATATTTCGCTTTCGGAAAAACTGTAGCGTCAGCATTTTTTTTTTTTTTTTTTTTTACTGAACCTGACTTTCCATTTATTCTTCTTCTTTTCTTTTACTCTCAGGTTTTTGTAATATTATCCTTAATGTTCTTTTGCATCTGAAGAGAAATTATGTTCGTCATATATGTCTTATACCTTATAATTGTCTTTTTATTTTACAGCATTTTGTATTTGTTCTCTCTCCATATGGTAGATGCATTTTTGTCTGTATTTCTCATTCCCTATACTTTTTCATTCTCTTTGTTTCCGTTTGTCTCTCTCTTTTCTCTTATTTCTGTTCCTGTGTGTCTGTCTGTCTGTCTGTCTCTCTCGCTCCCCGTCTCTCTCTCTAATTATCTCTCTGTCAGTCTACTTGTTTCCCTCTTTCTTTCCATCTACCCATCTCCTGCTTTCTCTTCCTCTTTTCTCTCTTAATTTCTCCCTCTTACCCCGTTTATTTCTCACTCTGCTTGCCTGCGTCTTTCTATCTATCTATTTTTTTTTATCTATTTACCTATGTATCTATCCATCAAACTATCTATCTGTCACCTGTTCTCCTTCCCCTCTCATCCACCTTCTCGTTGATTCTTTCTCTCTCTCTCTCTCTCTCTCTCTCTCTCTCTCTCTTCTCCCTCTCTCTCTCTCTCTCTCTCTCCCTCTCTCTATTCATCTCTGTGTTTCGTCTATCTGTCTTTCTATCCTGCTTCCATTCTTTTCCCTTCCTCTTTCTTCCACGCACCCCATTTTATCTTCCATTTACTCTGTCTCTGTCCCTCTGTTCCTCTGTCTATCTGTGTATCTATCTACTTTTCAATCTATCAACTGCTTTCCCGCCACCTTTCTCATTCTCTCTCTCTCTCTCTCGCTCTCTTTCTCTCTCTTTCTCTCCCTGGTTTACTCTCCCTGAAAATATTTACCTTTCAAATTCCTCCTAATTCCATTTTTAACCTTTTCACTTGGTGTGTTCTCGCTTTTTTTCTATTTTACTTTTGGTTATTGCTGTCTTGTTTTTTTATTATGTCTATGATTCTGAATCGAATGCAGGTCAACAAGATTGCTGGACAACAACGCTCTCACGGCACTATATATTATATATATATATATATATATATATATATTATATATATATATATATATATATATATATATATATATATATATATATATATATATATATATATACACACACACACACACACACACATAACGTTATGTATATAATGAACTTGCAACATTCACATAAGTGAGACATACCAGAAACAGAAACAAATGAAATCTTACAAAAATCACACACAATACAAACGAAAACAAAACATATATTAAACAGAAACAAAAGAAAAACGGCCACAAACGCCTCTGAAACACGCACACGGGGCCACCGCCATGTGCGTGTCTCCGCTGCAGGCTCTGTGCAGTTTATTTATACGTCTATTGATTTACAAACAATGCCATTCATATTTGTCCGCTCTATTTATGTGTCCGCCGGTGTGTGCGTGTGTGCGTGAGCGTGTACGTGTGAGGGTGGAACGGATGTGAGTAGAGTATGAAAGGGGGGGGGGTGAATTGGTGTGTACATGTGTGTGTGTGTGTGGAGGGGGGGGGGGGTTGTATGTGCGTGTGCGTGTGTGTGTGTGGGAGTGGGAAAGGGGTTGTATGCGTGTGGTTATATATGTATATAGCCTGTGTGTATGTCTATATCTATGCATGTGTACGTGTGTGCGTTTCAAACCTCCCTACAGATCCATGTCTATATATTTCGACACGCACATGTACGTAAACACAGACACACACATCTACGACTGCATATCAACACCAGAAAGTATGAACACACACACGCGCTCTGCAAGGCTATGTATCAACACGCACACAGCCAGGCATCAACACACCCGTATGTTTACACCAACACGCACACGTATGTACGTCTGTTGGACCCAGACTATGTGTACCCAGTGGTGTGTACGCATTGCAACGCACTTGTTTAATGCTATGCAAGTGACCGATGCCGAGGCTGAGCATACTGCATTGCAACTATGCCTTGCAAGATCATTTCTTCTGGGGATGCTGCGCCCGAGCTCCCCCTCTCTCTCCGCAGCGCGTTATTCCTCGGCGTCGTCCTCGCGTTATTGCAGCGGTTATTTCCACTGCCTTTGGACGAGTAGTAGCCGTAGTATTCACTCTCCTGCAACAGTACTATGTTGCAAGTCACCCACCTTACCCTCGGCGATAAAAAACGCGAAGCATCGACGACGAAATCGCATTATCCAACGCCATTGCTCCCAAAAATAACCTCTACGATGAAAGACGCTGATTAAGAGTCATCCCCAAGTAGGCTTTCGATACAAACAAAAACAATCTGTGCTAGAAAAAAATAGACAACATAACGTGTGGAAATATGGTTTCAATGACTTGGGTGTTGCAAAAAGGGCCTAATTGGCAACCCTCCGCGTTGCTAGAATGCTGGTTGCAAGTCGGACCGGTCGCCAGTGCCGAGGCGACTGTCGAAGCGAGGGGATCGCCGCCGCTCCCCCCAAGAGCACCCTTTCAACTCCCTCTGCCCGACACCATGGAAGTGACTTAATACTGAGGGAAAGGGGGGAGAAAAAACAGTTCAAAAGACGATAACGAAAACAACAGTCAACGAAAACGCGAGACGGAGAAAGAACGTTTTTTTTTTTTTTTTTTTTTTTTTTTTTTTGAAGGAAAAGAGGAGAAAGATATATACGAAGAGACGCCCCCCCCCTAACGCCCGAAAAAAGTAGAGAATATCTGAACATTATTATTTTTTCTTTAATTCTAGAAAAAAAAAGGTTTTCAATTGTGTGTTGTTTGCTATATATTGCAATTGAGAAACAAAGAGTGAATTTGAAGGAGAATAGAAAAGAAGAAGAAAAAAAATATCAAGAAAAAAGAGGAAGAACTGAGTGTGTTGTGTTGTTGTTTGCGTGCGTGTGTGCTTGTGTGCGTGCGTGCGTGCGCGTGCGAAATCACTGTGTTCAGAAAATCCTTGTGCTTTTGACCCCCCCCCCCCAAGCAAAAGGAAGAGGAGGAAGGAAGGGGGAAAAATCAGTCCTCGGGAACATGGAAAGAGAATTAAGAACATAAGAAGAGAAAACAGGAGACAGAAAACAAGAAGAGTGTGATACGCCGAGAAAAGAAAGGAGAAGAGAGAATCGACGATAATTATCCGCTCTGTCTCTTTCACCTTTCTCTCGCCCTCCTCGCCTCCTTTCACCTCCCATCTTTATCATCCTTCTTATTCTCTCCTTCGTCTTTTGATTCTTCCTCTTCCATTCTTCCCCTCCTCCCCTACGCAGGGAAATCCACGTCTTGTATCTTATTCTTCTTGTTTTTATCTCATCTTTTGCCTCTTTCACTTGTGTCCTTCTCTGTTTGTCTGTCTGTCTGTCTGTCTTATTGTCTGTTTGCCTGTGTCTGTCTTATTCTCTCTCTCTTACTCTAGTCTTCCTCTATTTTTCTCTCTCTCTCCTTCTCTCGTATCTTCTCTCTTTCTCTCGCGTTTATCACATTTCGAGGAATCTACGAAGAGAGTCACCAACAGGGACCAGGAAAGTGCGATAGGAACAGGCGGGAGAGAGAGAAAAATCGACCTTATGGACTAGGACTGATACCTACTCCCCTCCCCCCCCCCCTCCCTCCCCACCGTGCGACTACAAGCACCCCCCTCCCTCCCCACCCCCTCTCTCCCCCTGGCGCATAGTGCTTGTGGAATAACTCGATAATTGAACAATTGATACGCATTATTATCATGTGTTTTCTTCTGTTTACCTCTACGTCTGGAAAATAAAGAAAAGAAGAGTAAGAGAAAGGTGGAAAGATATATGGAACAAACAGATACGTGAATTCTGTATGGTATATATGTAGGGAGGCGAAAGTATATATACACATACATATAAACACACAGAGACGTTGGGAAACAACAACAACAAGACTCGCCTAGAAAGACCTAGAATAAAAAAAAAAAAAAAAAAAAAAACAAGGAAAAAGAGAAAAGAAAAACCCAGAAAACAAAAACAAACAAACAAACAGTGCCACGACCTCCCCGTAATCCATTCGCTTGTTTGTTGTTTCTCTCGGCCGCCGCCCCAGGAAGACCACAGTGTATCCGTAGTCCTCTGTCGCGGAGTGAACAGTGTGCTTATCCGGTGACGCTCAAGTTCCCGCCAACCGTCTACCTTTAAAGCTCAGGAGATCCACAGCTGCCCAACCGCGCCACCTGTACAAAATACTGCAGGTAAGGCCAATGTGGGGAGGGGGGGAGGGGGAGGGGGAGCGGGGGGTGAGGGGGAGGGACGGAGGGGGCGGAGGTAGGGGGGGTGGGTTAGGCTGTGAGGTTATTTTTTTTTCGGGGTCGTGGCGAAGGGGTTGGGGCGGCTCGGGTCGTGGCGAAGGTTGTGGGGGCGGGTTGGGGCGGGGTTGGGGGGTGTGGGGAAGAACAGTCGCTAGTTGTGGTTGTGGTTGTTGTGATTACTGTGGTTGTGGATTCCGGTTGGCAGCTTGGAATGTTAAAGTTATTGTTATTATTGTTCTGCACTGCCATTCTTAGCATTAATATCATAATCCTAATTGCAACAATGATTATGATCTTATTGAAAATGATAATTATATTAATAATGATGACATTGATAATGATAATGATAAGAGTTGAAAATGAAATTTGTGATAATGATAGTAAAGTAGTAATGCAAACATTAATTATGATAATGATAATGATAATAATATTAATAGTAATGATAATGATAACAATAATAATAATGATAATAATAATAATAATGACAATAATGAAAATGACAATAATGATAATAGTAATATTAATAATGATAATGATAATATTAATAATGATAATGATAATGAAAATGATGATGCTAATAATAATGGGATAATGATAATGACAAAAAAACATTTTAAGAAATATATAATGATGAAAATAATGATAATAATTTTCCTCATTACGATAATCAGCAGTAAGATATGATGATGATAATAACATTAAAATTATAATAATGATAATTTAAATTTTAATGATAACAGTCATAATAATAGTGATGGTGCCAGTAATAATGATAATGTTAATTATGATATTTATGATGATGATAATGATAAGGATGATTATAATAATAATGATAATTATAATGATAATGATAATTATAATAATAATAATAATGATTATAATAATGATGATGATGATAATGATAGAAAATGAAATGACAATGGTAATGATAATTTTATAATGATGTAATAATTATAATAATAATAATAATGATTATAATAATGATGATGATGATAATGATAGAAAATGAAATGACAATGGTAATGCTAAAATAATGACAATTTTGAGAATAATATTAGAAATAATTATATTGAGAATAATATTAGAAATAATTATATTGACAATAATATTAGAAATAATGCTAATGATGATAATATTGATAAGCAATAATGATTACAAGGAAAATGTGATATTGATAATAATGATAATGAAAATAATAGGGATAATAAAAATAAAGATGATAACAATAATGATGATAAAAAGTGATAATATTAATGATAATGATTATAACATGTATTATTTAAGATAAGAGTTATAATATTAAAAATCATAATGAAAGTCGTAAAAATCATGTTAATAGCCCTAATGATAATGATAAAAACAATGATGATAATAATGATAATAATATAAATCTTTATATATAAAAATCATATCAATAATAATGATGATAATGATATAATGATAATGATAATGATGATGATAATACTAATGCTAATAATAATGATAAAAATAATAATATAATAATTATAATAATAATATAAAATTATAATAATAATGATGATGATAATAAAGATAATGAAAAGACTAATGACAATTGTCATAATTGTAATAATAATGATTGTAATAATTAAAATAATGATCATGACCGTAAAAATTATAATGATAGATATGATATTGATGAAGTTAATGACAATATCAATGGTGACAATAAAATAACGATGATAATGAAAATAATGATGATAATAATAATGATAATAAAAACGATAATAATAGTAAAGGTAATATTATATATGATGATAAAGAAACAATGATGATAAATAAATGATAATGACCATAACAGTAATAATGATAATAGTGATAATGATAATAGTAATAATAAAAGAAATAATTAGAAAAACATTAAGAATATTATGATATGATAATGATAATAACGATAGTCAAAATAACAATAATAAAAAGGAAAATAGTAGTATTAATGATAATAATGATAATAACAATAATGATGATAAGAGTTATGATAATGATGTTAATAATTACAACAATGATAATAATAAAAACAATACTGATAATAATGAAAAACGTAATAATAATAGTAATGATAATAATAATAATAATAATGATAATAATGATAATAATAATGATGATACTACTACTACTACTAATGATAATGACAATGATGATAATTTATATCACATTTCTGGGCACATTCTCATTATAATTATTGTTTTTTTATTGTCATTAATCTCATTATTATTATTACAATAATGTTGATTCTACAAATGATAATATGATAATAACTATAATAATGATAATAATGATTTTATTGTAATAATAGCAAAAACAACAATAGTAATAATGACAATGATGATAATACTAGTAATTAGTAGGGATAGTTATAATAATGCCGATAGAAATAATACTTATCATTACCATTACTATGATTATGATTATACTGTTATTGCTACTGTTGTTGTTATTGATAATAATGATAATAATAGTGATAATAATAATGATGATAATATGATAATAATAATAATATCATTAATATTACTATTATTATTATTATTATTATTATTATTATCATCATCATTATTATTATTATTGTTATTATTATCAGTATTAATATAATCATTTTTATCATCAATTTTATTATCTTGATTTTTGTTATTAACATTACAAGTAGTAGTAGTACTTAACTATTATTATCATAATTATTGTTATTATTATATTCATTATTACTATTATCATTATTATTATTATTATTATTATTTATTATTATTATTATTATTATTATTATTATTATCATTATTATTGGTTATTATTATTATCAGTATATATTTGTTATTATCATTATTTATATAGTATTATTATCATTATTATTATTATTATTTTTATTATTATCTATCTATTATATTCATTATTATTATTATTATTATTATTATTATTATTATATATTATTATTATTGTTATTATTATTATTATTATTATAATTATTTTCAATATTATTAATCTATTATTATTTATTTATATTTTATATATTAATTTGATTATCATTCTTATTATTCTATATTATCTTTGTTATTAATATTATTATTAAAATGATTATTAATATTATTATTATAATGATTATTAATCATGTTCCTTATTGTTATTATTATTTATTATTATTATTATTATTATTATTATTATTATTATTATGATCATTATTATCATTTTTGTTAAAATTATTATCAATGTAATATAGTTTTTATTATTTTCATATATTGTAACATTGTTATTATTATTATCATTGTGATCACTGCTATTGTTATTATCATTATTTTATTGCAATTTTTATCATTACTACTATTATTACAATTATGATTATGATTATTGGTATCATGGTATTTATTATCATTATTGTAATATTTATTATGATCATTTTGAATATCTTCCTTGTGTTATTATTGATATTTATAATTATCATTATCATTATTATTATCATTATTATTATTTTTTTTTTGCTATTGTTATTACTAGTAGTAGTCGCACATAATTATGAATATTGTAATTGTTATTATTATTATCATATTTATTATATTTATTGATATTATTATTGTTATTGTTGTCATTATCATTATTATTGTATTATCATTGTTATAGTTATTATTATTATTATCATCATTATCATTAGTGTTGTTGTTGACGTTGTAGTTTTCATTATTATCATCATCATCATCATTATCATTGCCTTCACTATTACTAGCATTATTATATCATTATCATCATTATATTATTATCATTGTTACTGTTGCTATCATTCTTTTTGTGTGTTATATTTCATTGCTATACTATTTTTGTGTTAATAGTAATGATAATAATAATAGTTATGACAACAATAATACAAAATACAAGGACAACAACAGCAATAATAATAATAAATAAATAAACAGAAAAACAGATAGTATGTCACAGCAAAAAAAAAAAAAAAAATGTCCATTGTAACTAAACTTATGATTTTTTATTTTCATTTTCCGTAGTAGAAATAGTTTCTTGTGTCATTTTATTTGTTTTTTGTTATCAAAAAGCTATTTACAGAAGTGATTATTACTAAATTTATTACTTTTATGAATATATTAGTAATAAAATTAATAACAGTGATAATGGTAATAATATATAGGATAATTATTATTAGTTATTATCATTATTACAATTATCACTGTCATTAATGTTATCATGATTATCATCATTATCATTTTCATTGAAATAATAATGATTTTTATTGATATCATTGGCATTGTTATTAACTATTAATTTTTTAAATAATGATCCATATCAATATTTCATATCATTATGATAATGACAATGGCAATAATAATAATAATAATAATAATAATAATAATAATAATAATGATAATAAGGATAATCATGATAATGATAATTATTATTATTATCATCACTATTGATATCATTATTACAATAATAATTATAATGATGATAAAAGTAATGGTGATAATAATTATTATTGCGGTTATTATTATCTTGGATATTAATATCATTAGAGAGAGAGAGAGAGAGAGAGAGAGAGAGAGAGAGAGAGAGAGAGAGAGAGAGAGAAGAAGAGAGAGAGAGAGAGAAAGAAAGAAAGAAAGAAAAGAAGACAAGAGAAGAGAAAGAGAGACGTAGTGAGAAAGAAAGAGAGAGAGAGAGGGAGAGAGAGAGAGAGAAGAGAGAGAGAGAGAGAGAGAGAGAGATGAGAGACGAGAGAGAGAGAGAGAGAGAGAAGAGAGAGAGAGAAGAAGAGAGAGAGAGAAAGAGAAAGAGAGAGAGAGAAGAGAGAGAGAAAGAGACAGAGAGAGGGGGGGGGGAGTCTGCGTCATTAAAAAACATCATTGTCCATTCTTGTAGTAATCAGTCAATGTGATTTATCCTTGTCAGTCTTCTAATTGCCATATTACTCAACCAGGAGTTAAATGACAAATATC